GTGACCACATTGATGACTTGGAGACAATCTGCAGGGTAGCGCTGATGCATGGGAAGCCATATTGATGAGTTGACAAGAGATTTGTGTTGCGCTGAAGAGCGCTGGACTCAGGGGAACTTTGAAACACTTTGTAATCATATTTCTGATAATATAAGCTGTGAAACTCGGTCCTCTTTTCATCTACCTTTGTCTATGACTTGAGACTATTGATCATTGTGTGTGAGGATGAAGCATGACATATACACACTTGCGTGAGATGGTCCCCAGGACCCATGCAAATTTTGGTATCGGAGCAGATGCTCGCTGTACTCATAGCGCTGGCATAGTCAAGGCCGGCGAGAAGATGTGGTGATGGAGGATAAGTGAAGAGGGAGGAAGAGAAGAGGTGTTGGATGGTGGGGGAAGCAGGCCGAAGTAGAAGAGGTGAAAGTTACTTACCTGGAGCGTGCGGAGCGTCGTGGAGCATCACCGGCGGTATCTTCAAGAAGAGAGAAGCACCTCCTTTCCCTGAACCTGCATGTATGTGTGTGTCCCCTACCTTCTCTCTCTCTGACCCTCTGAAGGTGACTGCTGCTGGTCTGGTCTGTAGTCGAAGTCTGGATCTGGATCGTCCTAGAGTCTGGATGGTCCAAGGGTGATGTGTCAGGGCCTGGTCACACTAGATTAGGTGGTCAGTGTTCTGCGAGTAGGAGTAGACTTCTCTCCTACCCCTCTCGATAGGTAGGCTGGGTATCGTCATCAAGAACTAAGAACCGCTGTGGTAAGTGGCTATATGCCACGTCAGATTGCAAGTACCAGGCAGTGTAAGAATGATATTGAGCACCTACAGGGCCAATTGAGCCCGAAAGAAAGAAACATTTGCACGAAGTATTTCTGCTTGGGTGGATAAGCGAACCATCTGCATCTGACCTTCTGCGCTGTACTCCATACCTGCATCAGACAACCAGCCGGTTAGTATTAAAAAATTAATATATCAGAGGAGACAAGACATCAGAAACACGTTGCCAAAGGTTTGATCCAGGGAGCCAGACAGCATATCAACGGAAAAAAAAAAAAGAGAGTATACATATCCAAATAGTCAATTTGTGTTAGTTTGATCTCTTTTTTGATCTACGCAGCACCTTCTACAAAAAAAAAAGAAAAAGTACAGCGCTCCATTCACCGCAGATCAGGAACTGAGTCCGTAAGTGGGATAGTACCTTGGTGATCCGGCGGAGGGTCCCCTGTGCCGGCCGTCATCATGGATGACTATCCCATCCAGGGCCTGTTGGCCCTTTCTGTCTTGTTGGGTCCCTTGTTCAGAGTCATGTTCCCGTTGGGATTCGGACGTGTGTGCACGTCCCGCATGTTCATGCGATCAGGAACAGTAAAGCCTGGGCCCACACCTGTGGAGCAAGCGGAGATTGACCGCAGGCGGGCAGAGAAGAAGAAGGAAAAGGAAGCCAAAAAGAAACAGAAGGAAGAAGAACCAAAGAAAAAGTTGAAAGAAAAGATGGACAAGGAGTTAGAAGAAGAACTGAAGAGCATTCAAGAAGAAGAAGAAGAAGAAGAAGAAGAAGAAGAAGAAGAAGAAGAACAAGATACAGGAGAAGTTTTGGAAAGACGTCGTCGCCTGGACGTACCCGAAAGTAGCGATACTGCAGCAGCCAGACTTCCAGTTGAACCACTGGACTGGGCTGCCCGATATTACTACTCCAGCGAACCGTTAAAGGAATCTGATGAAGAATGGGATGCGTTCGTCGCAAAGCTGGCCACCGTAACAGATGTAGTCGAACGCAACCTGATGATAGCAGAGAAAAGGGCGGAGCTGAACAGTAGGTTGTTAGCAGCGAGACGGCAAGAAGTGGAAGAAAGGAAGAGGCTGCAGGTAGAAGGGGAAAAATTGCAAAGGGCTCTAGAAGCACAAAAAGAAAAACCTTCGGAGACAGAAGATCAACTCGCCCTACTCAGAGAAGCCGTCCTCAACACCAGACAAGACATGAACGTAATGCGTCAGACCTTGCAAAGGGTAGAGACACATCGGGTTGAATTCGAAAATGTCTGGAATAACTTCCTGGAAAAGTCAGCAAAGGACGTTGATCAGCATGTTCAGACTTACATCAGGGCCTTAGATGAACACGTTTCTAAGACCTTCACCCCCGAAGTCATAGAAAAGATAGTAAAGGGCGCTGGAGGCCAAGGAGGAGATGGCGATGACGATGGCGATGATGATAAAAAGGGGAAAAGAAGGGGGGATCCAAAATACAAACTTCCTCAGGAAACCGTGCAGGTTAGCAAGATAAAACTCAAACTGCCGTGGACTTATAATGGGAAGAAAGAAGAGAGTGTTTTGCATTGGTCGGCGGCAGTAGAAACCTATGTCTATGGGCAGCGAATCCCATACTGGGACAGGGTGCTAATGGCAAGTTCATGCATGGGAGGCGACGCCATGAGCTTCGCCATCTCGCTGCAAAAAGAGGCGGGATGCAGCTCGATGGTAGAGTATTCGCAGCAAACGCGAATCGAAGATTTTCTTAAATTGGTTAGAGAAAGATTTGAGGACAATAATTTGGCATGACGCACCGAAATGTTGATCCTCAACCTCCCTGACAGGAAGTGGAAAAGCACCTCTGCCTTGAAGGCAACTATGGACGAATTGTTACAATGCCCTGATCACGGATTAACGCCGGCCCAAATCTTAAACAGTTTTGCACGAGCACTTCCGGACCCCCTGAGAACGCAACTCTATCCCTGCACCAAGGAAGAGGGGATGACATACGAGAAGTTCGGCAAGATCGTAGTAGATCACGCCGGCTTCCTCGCCGAAGCGAACTATTGCCATTACTGGAAAGATCTGCAAGTTGGTAAAAGATGGCAAAACCGCACTATCTCAGGGTCTATACCTGGGAAAGACAGTCTCCTTCTAACCTTTGAGGAAGGAGGCGCCGAGACCATCTCCTGGGATCAGGTAGACTATGGTCTCGATGAACCCAACAGACCGGTAGCTCAGGAGGGGAGTTACGCGGCTGTTGCAGCCCGCGGGGGAGGGCGTCAAGGAAGAGGACGTGGCCGAGGAAGAGGTCGCGGCCGTGGTGGACGAGGATTCGRCACCCAGAGGGGTGGTGGTGAAGGAAGCCACTATGTGGGAGGAAGGGGAAATGGTCCCTCACAAGGTGGCCGTAGTTCTTATTCCACCTGGGGTAGAGGAAGGGGCACATGGTATAACAAGTGGGACAAACTGTAACCACCACATTCAGGCCTACCTGAAGGAGAGCCTTGGAAAGAGTTAGGAATAAACGAAAAAGTCTGGCAAGAAAGAAAGAAAGGAGACCAGTGTCTCAAATGTGGGGACCCCGACCATATTGTCCCCTATTGCCCTGACTATAGAGGGGCAAAAGGGAACAACCAGTAGAGGTGCCTGTTGCCTCTACCGGGGCTTCGGATGTTGACAAATCAGAATCCTCCCATTCGAAGGCCCCAATGGCAGAAACTGAAGAGGAAGGAAGTCCCCATCTAGTGTACTGTCCAGAGATGGCAAACGTATGCATCTCTCTAGATGGATCCCTCGCTGGCGTGGATGATGAGTTGGCCGCTCGTCGCCAAGCCTGGACTGAAATGCG